CTGTAAGTGCTAATGATGTTAGCAAGGTTGTTTGATGATCACATTCCTTCTTACTAATGTATTCTCTTTAAATTAAAACATTTGAAATTGCCATATCACCATAATCATTTATTAAGTTACAAGTACTTTGTTTAGGCAACTTTGACTGATAATGGACTGCATCTTCTCCATCTTTTATATTATCTTCACAAAAGTTTTTATTTCTTATTTAATATGGCCTTAAGTCATCATTCATAGACTCTTCAGGCCAACCATTCATACAGTGCTCATATACTTTTATTAAGCACTCATCTTTTTGTGTTTCTCTCTTAATTTAATTCACATTTATATTGGAGTTATCCATGATAGTGAAGAGAACAAATACATCTTCTGGTACATAGCTCAGGCTTTGGTTTTTTTAAGGGTAATCTACTCAGACTATCTGCACTATTCTCAGATCCAGGTTTGTATTTCAATTCATAATTGTATGCAGTTAGTGTGATAGCCCATCTTTGAATTCTTGGTGAGGCATGCTCAGGTAGGGTTTTGTTTTCTCCAAATAAACCTAGCAATGGTTTATGATCTGTAAAGATGGTGAACTTCCTACCAAACAGAAACTTATGAAATTTCTTAACACCAAAAATGATGCCTAAGCCTTCCCTATCTAACTGAGAATAATTTTTCTCAGCCTGGTTCAAAGATCTACTGGCAAAAGCAATGGGTCTGTCACCCTTCTCATCCATGTGGGACAAGACTGCTCCTACACCAACTGGTGAAGCATCACATGTTAATATAAGTCTTTTCCCTGGGTCATAGTGAGTTAGTAAGGTGTCAGCAGACAAAGCCTCTTTTGCTGTATTAAAAGCAGCTTCTTGTTGTTTACCCCAGTGCCAAGTTGCATTTTTCTGTAGCAGCTTGTACAGTGGTGATAGTTTACCAGACAGATTCCCTATGAACTTTGCATAGTAATTTATCAAGCCCAAAAAAGCTCTTAGTTGTTGGGTATTTTCAGGTTTGGGTGCTTCTTTAATGGCTTTTGTTTTCTCAGGTTGAGGTCTGATACCTTGCTTGCTTAATATATAACCAAGAAAACTAATTTCTGTCAGCATGAATTGACATTTATCTTTGTTTATCTTTAAACCCTTTTCACCGACTATTTTTAATACTTTATCAAGTGTTTTAAGATGTTCAGTGTCATTCTTACCAGTTATGTACACATTGTCAAAGTACACACAAACATTTGGAATGTCCTTAAAAATACTGTCCATGACAGCTTGGAAAATTCCAGGGCTAGATGATATGCCAAAACATAGTCTTTCATATTGGTAGAGTCCTTTATGTGTGTTTATTGTCGTATAGACTTTTGAATCTGGATGCAGTTCTAGTTGAGTGTAAGCATGACTAAAGTCTAATTCAGTGAATTTGTCTCCTCCTGCCAAATTCAAAGAAATTTCCTCAATGTTAGGTATAGGGTACCTATTTAGCTCTATTTGCTTTTTCAGTGTAGTTTTATAATCTCCACAAATTCTTATAGAACCATCCTTCTTTAACACTGGCACAATGGGTGTCGCCCAATCGGAATAGTCTACCTTCTTTATGATGCCATTAGCTTCCAATCTACTTAGCTCATTTTCAATTTTATTCCTCATTGCATAAGGTGGAACTCTAGCTTTGCAGTATCTTGGATTTGTGTCTTTAATGCTTAACTTCACTGTTCTATCATTTAGTAAACCTGAATTACCAAAAACACATTTATTTTCAGATATAACTTTATCTAGTGAAGTAAGACTAGATTCTTTTACATTCTTCAATGAACAAATACTCTCCCAATTTAACTTAAGATCACTTAACCAGTTCCTACCTAGTAATGGCGGTCCATTTCCTTCAACCACAAGAAGAGGAAGTTTAACACTTTGACCATTATAACTTACATGAACCATACACTCTCCTATTACCGGAACATTGTCACCAGTGTATGTTGTTAGACACTTGTGACACGGCTGTAGAGACACTGATCCTTCTGTGACAGCGTCAAAATCTTTCTTTGTTATGACTGTTAGAGATGCTCCAGTGTCCAGTTGGAAGCTGATGCTCTTACCGTTGATATAAACTTGTACATTGATGGGAGCATGACTTATTGATTTCACAGAGAACAGGTTGAAATCCGGCTGCAAATCAATTTGAGCATTTTCACAGGTAGAGTGGTTCATTGGTTGGGTTAGGTAGTCTTGGTGAGAGTTAACATAGTGCTGCTTTTGGTTGCGGTACTGTCTTGACTGGCTAGATTTAGCAACAGACGAAGACTTTGCAAAGCAGGCCTTGGCAATGTGACCTTGCTTACCGCACTTATAACAAGTTGCTAACTTGAACTTGCACCGATGAGATGCATGGGGACCCTTGCACCGATGACATTTTTGATAATTATTACTAGATTTAGATCTAGGATTTGAACGAGCAGGCTGTTTAGCATAAGTTGGAATGCTCTGATGGGGTTGATGTTTATTGACTAACCTGCTGTTTACTGCATGGATCCCTGAAGGCGTAAGAGATTTCGCCGCATCTGATGACTGCTGGATTGAAGTTGCAAGTTGTATTGCTTTTTCCAATGTTAGATCTGACTCGAGCAGCAACTTTCTTTGAATATCAGGGCTGTTTACACCTGTCACAAACTTTTCACATAATCTGTCAGACAGCGTTTCTCCAAATTCACAGAATCTACTTAGATGACGTAAAGCAGCAACATATTCTGATATTGACTCGTTTGGTTGACGAGTCCTACTGTCAAATCTAGCTCTACATAAAAACTTTGATGGGGTAGGCGCATGGTGGTCTGTTAGCAATTTGCTCAGCTCGTTAAAGCTCTTGGTAGTTAGACTAGCTGGTGCGCATAAGTCTTTTAGTAGCCTAAATTGTTGAGGCCCTATGACTGTTAACAAAACAGCTCTCTTTTTGGCTTCTATCGTCACGTCGTTAGCTTCTAGGTAAAAGCTTAACCTCTCTAGGTAATCTTGAATGATTTCATCATTCGCATCAAATTCTTTTATTTGGCCATACAGCGCCATAATTCTAGAAATAATTAGCTAATAAGCTCTAGCAAACCTCTTTTTTGCGTAAGTAGGTGCTCTTTCTAGTAGATGTTTATCCTTCGTCGCCAGTTATAATAGATTGACGACAGAAGCCTGTGGTTGTATATAACACGTTTATTGGGTCTAACTACTTCATGATGGTAATACCAGAGAGGGCGGAAGGAAGTACCCAAGGGACATCACTCAAGATAACAATATTATAAATATAACTAATACAGAAGAGTGAGTTCCCTTGACCTCACAATTATTTCAATCTATTACAGGTATAAAATTGCGAAATAGCATTATGTGGGCCAGTGGTCGGCAACCTTTCAGACGGAAGAGCCAAAAGTTACAATTTACAAAATTTACCAGTTTTTAAAGAGCCACTAACATTTTTATTTCAATATTGTATTATTTGACTAGGATAAGGTATATAAATTTGATTTTTTATTTGAAATAAATAGCTTTAAAAATGAAATAATATTTATTTATAAACAAACCGTAGACATGTTCCCACATAACGTATTAAAGTATTTTAGCGAACTCTGCTATGCTAAATTAGTAATCAAATAATAGAACTATAGGACAATCCCAGTCCACTTTGGAAGATAATAATTTTCTTTCTTTGCGGACATCACCAACTCAGGAGGTGTCTCCCATTAGCCAGGCAGGCCTTCACACGGCAAACCCCGACTAACTGGCTTAGATATCCGTTTGATGACCGTGTATCGGTAACTTCTGCTTTATCTGGGCTTATCTTCCACACTACTTGTACCCCACATTCCAGTACCTGGCTAAACCGTATTAAGCTAACAACTAAAATACTACGTCACTCAGGTCAAATTAGGTAGAAGAATGCATTCTGAATTCTGAATAAAATAACATTCCCCATTTAACGATATTCAAAAAAGTCGGCACATTGACAGTGGCAAGCATGGAATTGTTGCCACGTGGCTGGCCACGGCTGTGGGGCTGGGTCTGGTGCCCAAGCGGCTGTCTGCTGTGCGTACGCTCTATAGGCCCTACTCCACCTATTCTTACTAAGTGTCTCTATCCTGTTTAAAGTTGTTTTTCTTTACAGAATAATATTGAATTTGACTTTTGAAAATAATATCATTATTAATAATAGCGCACGGAACTGGAGAGCAGCATCTCGACAGCAAAAGAGCCATATGCGGCTCGCGAGCCGCAGGTTACCGACCCCTGCAATAGGCCTAAACGAAAAAGTAAACATAGTTTGATAGTCAAAGAATAGCAACTGTTGAAATACAGTTGTAGAGTGTGGCTATAAAAAAAAGTTATGTCCCATTATTAGAGTATTACTGCTATTAAAATTACCTCTTCCGGAAATTTTGCAGTGTGTTCAGTTTATATAAAAATCGTTTATTTACAATACGTTAATTTAATTGATTTGCCTTGTTTAGTATTTTTCTACTGTAGCTGCAGAACATTAATTTAAAATATAAAAATTTAATTTGAAACACTCAGTATTAATTTATCGATCGGTAAATCTATAGACTAGAGACAAAACAAGAATAGAAAGTTTAAAATGTATCAAGTTGAACATTTACACCAAAAAACTATTTACACAATATTTACAAAAGAATTTTGGATAAAATTGTTTCTTTTCTACTTTTGTTGCTAATATACAATCCGTAAAAATTTGTTTGCATTATTTCTTTCCCGCTTCCATGTTTTTAGACATTCGGTACCATAGATTAAATGACACAAAAATATGTATCCTAGGTAATAAAAACAAAATAACTACAAAAATGGACGATTGACTAAAAACTTATTAATAATTACAGTCTAGCAAACTGTAAAATGGCAGCTTTGTAATAACTTTACTTAACTGAAATCGTGTTTTACTTTTTATTTAATATTTTTAGACCTAACTAAAAATACAAAAAGAAATAATTTACAAAGGGCTTTTCTAATGCCTACACCGCATAAGTGTGTTGAAAAATGGCGACCTACGCGGATGAAATGAAAAAGTTTTTTGAAGCCAATAGCCGGACACGCGATGTTCAGGCACATACAGCTAAAGTTCATTCAGTTGCCTGGAGTTGTGATGGACGCCGTTTAGCCTCAGGATCATTTGATAAAACTGTGTGCATTTATATGTTAGATAAAGACAGACTGGTAGGCCTAATCTTTTTTTTTTGTTATTAAAAATTTTAAAAAGTTAGATCTCTATATGGTGACACCGGCTGACGTTGAGGCTGAGAGTTTTCCTTTCATGTTTTCCAAAGTAGTCGTCTATACTTACTTGATTCTGGATACACTTGAAATTAGATCAGGGGGGAGAGGGCATGTAATCCAATAAACTCGTGGCCCGCATTTCATTGGGTGGTGTGATTTAGCTTAGGGACTTGGGTGACATAGATTTTGCCCCTCTAAAAACGAGAGTTTTTTCCCCATACCGTAACCTAGTGAATTTAGCCGTGCGGCAGTGGGTGATAATTAAAAAAAAAATAATTTCACTATTAATCACCATTGTTAATAGAAAAGTGTCACTTTATTCTGAAAGACAAATGGATTTCACCGATTGCTGTGTTATTTTTGTTTTTTTCTGCTACCAGTGCGTGATGGTGTGTTTCAGGCAAAAATTGGGTAAGTAAAACTTATTGTTCCATAAAAATTTACTGTCGCTTTAGGCTAGAAATGCGATCTCCGAGCGTAAACACCATTTTTACATATGTGTTTCAAATTTCATTTAGTTATTCATTAGCGACGTATTTTTTTATAAATAACTTTGAAAGCATAGGGCTTACAACAGCTTAAGATTGCCGGAAAAGATCGATGTTAAAACCGGAAGTGGTGTGTTGTTGTTAATGACGCTATACAATGTAAATCTACTTGATTATCTAAATCCAGCAACATCCACATGAATCTGACTCCAAAAGCTTTTTAAATTATCGAATTACATTTGTTTTTTATTAAACTTGTTATTTTTGATGACTTTTCATTTGTATTTTGTTGTTAGATTCATTAATTAGGTAATTTTAGGATTGTAAATAAGATCGTTTTTTTCTCTCAGTTTGCGATGTTTATTTTTTAAACAGTAGATTCTAGATCTAAATTGTTAACTTAAGAATTATATTTAAAAACAAAAGAATGTTAGTTATATTTAGTGTGCTTTTCTATACAAATTTCTTAAATGAACAAGTTAATTTTAAAGCTTAATAGTAGGCCCTATGGCTATTAGAAGTATTTGCATAATAGATGATAGGGCCTAGTATAGACCTATTACAGGCTATTAGACTTAGTTCAGTGAGTTTGTTGGGACTTAAGGTCTAGTAATATTTAAAAAATAAAATGAATATAGATCTATTACAAGTGTTAATATTTAATTCCAAATGAACAATAATATGTATATTTTTATTCGGCCTTCTACTTGATTTTTTAGAGCAAGTTTTTACTTTTTTATTACATAAGTCCTCTTTATTTATGTTAAACTTGTATAGGCCCTTTTCAATTATAACTCTAGGCATTTTCACTACTTACTCTATGTACATTTACACAATTTTCTGTGTAAAGCTACACTATAATACTGTATTTTTGCTATTTTATATTTTTCAGTTGGAGCTTTACTAGTCTTGGCCCTAGATAAAATGTACCAGTTCAGCAAGGGGATAGAGAATCAAAAGATGTGGATCTACTCATAAGCAACTTCAATGAAGGAGAAATAGGTCCACTTAAGAATGGATGTTGCTGGTTTTTATTACAGTTCTAAAAGCTATCAGCCAGAGGAGACACAGCTTCAGTAGATGTTTGATCAGATTTCATTTTTAAATCATTGATGGTGTTATTTTTTAAACTAAAAAAGTGACACAAGCTAATAGACTTAAACATGTTATCCACACAGCATGAGATGTCACTTAAATATATGACACATGTTTCTAAATTATAAAACTTACCTTTAACATTAAATGGTGATCTTTACTCCACCAAATAAAAAATCATTTCAATTATTAAATTATTTGTTCAACAATAATTGTAAATTAAATTATATCAATTCTATGATAACATACACATAACATGGATGAAATATCATGAATATTGACAACATTTAGATACAATTTTAGTAATCTAAAATCAGTTTAGCATTGTACTTCTTTCTTGCAAAAAAGTAGTTGCGCAGAACAAAAATGTCTTTTTAAATTTGACCAACATTGTAACAAAACCACATAAGCTAAGTGAAATATTTTTACTTTGTGTGGATGTATACAATGTTGGCACCTATTAGGCCAATTTTCATTAAGATATTCCATATAATAAAAATTTGACAACAGATTATGTGTTGCCTATAGCAGAATTTATTGTTTAAAATTAAGGGGGGTATATGAGTTTAAACCCCTTTTTCATTAAATAAAATATTTTTAAAATCAAATTTGAACAATGGTAATATCAAAGTATATAATAACCTTCATGTTTACAATATTTCTTGCATATAAGTTAAGTAATCTAAAATCAGCTCAACATTGTACTTCTTTCTTGCAAAAAAAGTAGTTGCGCAGAATAAATATGACTTTTTTATTTTGTCCAACATTGTAATAAAACCACATAAGCTAAGTAAAATGTTTTGACTTTCTGTTAATGTATACAGTGTTGGCACTATTCAGGCCAATTTTCAGTAAGATATTCCATATAATAAAAATTTGGCAACAGATTGTGTGTTGCCTATCAAAGACGCTTATTCAAAAATTTTAGGGGGGTGACCCTCTTTGTTAACATTATTTTTTATGATCTTTCTCATCCACTTCAATTATTTTTATCTTACTCTTTTACTGATATCATGAGCTTGATCTTAGTGAATTTTCATTAAAAAATACCTGCTATTTATAAAGTTACAGAGATTTTAGTTCGCATCCAAAAAAGTAGGGAAGCAAAAAATTGAGAAAACCCCATAGTAAAAAACCCGAAAATTAAATACGTTAAAAATTCATAACTCCGTAACCGTTTGAGCTAAAATTAAAATAAAAGTATCTGTGTTCTTGTCTAAATGAGCTCTATAAACTGGTGCTACTACATTATTTATTTTTTTAAAATTGAAATTTCATCCAAGTCCCTAATTTAGCTGCTAGAATGTAGTTAGTCTCATAACGCGAGTTGAATTACCTCCCAAGACCCGCTTTTTTATAGTCACTTTTTAGTTGTTTTTTTTCAACAGCGTCTCAGCACTGTTGCTAAAAATAGCATTCGCGCAATACCATACGACGGGCACCTCTGTTTGGCGTCTGCTACACGTGCACTGATAGATCGTTGAATGGTCGACAAGCTGATATTAAATTACGAAGTGACTACTCGGAAGAAGATTTTCTCCCCAACATGTCCACTTAGTCGGCAAAAGATAGCTCTGTGCAAGCGCAGTGACCTATGGCTAGGGTTAGGGCTAAAATTACTTATATAAATGTCATTTTATAAATTTATATAAACTATTTACTTTCACCTTGGTGTAAAAAAATGTAGGTATAAGCAAACTGATATCAATAGGAAGAATCATGTCTTCTCTTGCTTACTAGAGGAGTTTACACTTTTCGGACACACACCAAAAATTACGTAGGAGCGAACACTTCGTCGGTTTTTGGCTCATAGAAACTTTAATTAGCATGTCTCACGCGAAACCACTGCGCCTGCACGTAAACTGTTCATTTATGAACACTTCCGTGTCAAGTACTTCCGTTTCCTTTCTCAAGAATTATTTTTAGAAATTTTTTAACGTTGCATGGTACGCACATTTCTATTTTTACACCAGCCGGATGAAGTGACCTAGGGTTGGACTTAGGGGCAAAACTGAACCAATCAATGCTTAGCTAACCGGTGTTCGCTAACTTATTTGGCCTTACATGGGAGCGGACAGCAACACAAAAATATTACTAAATAAGAATTAAGAGCATAAAAGGGGCTGGTTATTGAAGGGAAAGGGTCAAAATAAGGTCAAGAAGGCAGTGGAATGCAAAAGAGGAGGGGGAATCATGTGACCTGGCTGGCTTAGCAGCGTACTGCGCGAGCCGCAATGGCTGAATGGGATGAACTTTGGGAGTGTGGGAAAAAGGTTTTATACTATTAAAATTACCTCACAAACAATCAATAACACAATATAAATGCATATAATATATGTTTTTATTCATTAAATTGACTTTAAATTATTCTAAATGAACAAAAAGTGCTATGTCCGATGACGGGTAAAGGTGTCCGAACACATGTAAAACTGTATTACATGTGTTCGAACACACGTTAAGACCCCCCAGTCACTATAACAAGAATAGCTTAAGTTCTATGCGTATGAATACAAAATGACACACACATTATTAAAGTAGAATGGTTGCGGATAGATATGATACTTTTTTTTGTTTTCTATGTTAAGCGGTTACTGAATGAGACCGCATGGAATTTTTACGTTGCGTTTTTTCGCTATGTGTGTCCGAAAAGTGTAAGCTCCTCTAGCTTAAAAACAAGGAAATTTGACTTTTTACCTGCGTTTTTGGTCGCGTTTCTATATAATTTATTTGCGACACTAAAAAAATTATATTTAATTAACAGCTTTTGCTAAATTAATAAGATTGGTACTGTTGGATTGCATTTTCAAAGCTCTACAATTATGTGCTATTCTTTTTATAATTTGAAGAAATTTGAATTTTTATGAGACTAACTATAGAATCAGATTGGCCGATGCTAGCCGAAAAAGATTCGCATGCGCGATGGAGAGAAACTACTTGCCATCGTGGCAATGTTTTCGATGGCTCTGCGCAACGTGTGTTTACAACCGCAGAACCCTAACACCAACCCTAATCCTATCCCTAATTCTAACCCTAGCCATAGGTCACTGAGCATGCGCAGAGCTATCTTTTGCCGACTAAGTGGAGACGTTGGGGAGAAAGATCTTCTTCTGAGTAGTCACTTCAAATTAGATTTTACTTGATCTAGTCAAGATTCTAGAATTTAGAATCCTAGATTCCAGGTCTAGATCTATTCTTTGTATTCTAGCTTGAGATAATTTGATTAGTTAGTAAAAAAAAATAGTATCATTAGGTCTAGCAACTGTTACTATTACATGTTAACCGTAATCAGCTAATTAAAGTAGCTGGAACAGCCTCTCGATTATATTTATGCAGCCAATTAGAGGTCTTGGTGAAATGTGCCATGTCGAGGCAGTTCTTTCTTCGACTTCTTCGTTCTTAATTATTAGTGTTGAAGGGGATTGAGATTTATCTGCTGGTGGGTTTGAGCTGGAGACTTTTTTGTTCGAATTTATCAACCATGAGCTTTTTGCCGACTAGACCACGCCTCCAACACAATTAAGCGTTACGTGTCAACTGGTTATGCGCCATTGAGGCCATTGACTCCGATTTCAGCCTGCTTTTCTTTTTGGATTTGCTTCCATAGCCTTTGTCCAACCAAGTACAAACTACAAGGCAGCAGTTGTTTAATTTTGGAGTTGTCTCTCCTAGAAGAGTGGCTGTCCCCAGCTAACGAGCCTCATCTGCCCGAGGGTTCGAACTCGAGACTTTTCGGTTTAGAAACCATGAGCTTTACAGACTTGGCCACGCCGACCCCAGGCAGTAAATTGTGAGCTATAGTCTATTTGCGAGGTCAGCATGGTCGGTCTGTTACGCTCATAGCTGCTATATTGATAAGTCCAGGGGTGCCACTTTTTCCAGGATGTCCTGGATTTCTGGATTTGAGAATCATTTTTTTTTTACTTTCCGGATTTGCAAAATTTGAGTATAAAATTTCAGGGTTTGCAGTTTTAAAAAAAAATAAAGACCGTTTTAAACTTGAGACTTGTTTTAATTAGCAAGACTCCTGAGCATTTATACACGCTGATGACCCTTAACGCCTTTTGCTTATGTGTATATGGTACAATGTCCACTGCTGTGAAGGCTAGGCTAATAATCAGCGCTAGAATCATTGTGAGTCATCATTCGCTTAGGCCAGGGGTCTCCAAACTTTTCAGCCCGAGGGCCGCATTGACTATCAAAGTTCAATTCGGGGGCCAGTTTCTTCCAGGCATGCCTTTGATTTTTCTGGGCAAAGTTCCTCAGCTATCATTAACAAACGTTTATTCCGTGGTCAAAAAGAACTCCGTGGGCCGGATGAGAGGACCTCGCGGGCGGTAGTTTGGAGACCCCTGGCTTAAGCCAAAAGGCCTACTACCATGGTTACGACTTAAGAAACTTGGCTTGAGAGATATAGCCAACATTCTTTTACAGAACAGCAATATGACATACTGGTAATTAATAAAGCAGTCACATCCATTGATTATTTTTATAACATTTTGTGGAACTGTTATGTATTATATTTTTTTTATTTGTTGTTTCTTAAGACTAAAGACTATACAGTGTTCAGGGGTCATGGGGCAAGTGTGGACCAATTATGCTGGAATCCTCGTAATCCTGACCAATTGGCAACTGCCAGTGGGGATAAAACTGTTCGAATTTGGGACGCCAGAGCCAACAAAGCTGCAGCAACTGTGAATACAAAAGGTAATATTTATTGGTTTTATGTTTTTATTTTAAAGTAATAATTTCTAATATACAAGACTCAAGTCTTTACTGTTTCTTAATAAATAAAAATACGATAAATGTAAGGCTTCTTGTACAGGACATTGTTTACTTTTACATTTAGTTTGTAGCTACTCTATCCAGCTTCATTTGCATTAATATCATTCTTTATATTCTTAAAAAAGCTAGCAATGTTGTATGATACAAAGTGGTAATTGATTTTTTATAGGTGAAAATATCAATATATGTTGGTCTCCTGATGGCAGCACTATAGCAGTTGGGAATAAAGATGACTTGGTGACATTTATAGATGTGAAAACACACAGATCCAAAGCTGAGGAGCAGTTTAAGTTTGAAGTCAATGAAATTTCATGGAACAATGAAGGGGATGCGTTTTTCCTTACCAGTGGCCATGGGAGTGTACATATATTCAGGTAACCCTCTTTTTTTATGTGTTAGTGTCTTTTGTCTGTTTATATTAGTGGCTAGTGCATTCATGCTTTATTTAATTGTTTCAGCTATCCTGAATTGAAAACCCTCCATGTTTTGAATGCACACCCTGCCAACTGTATATGTATAGAGTTTGATCCCACTGGCCAGTATTTTGCTATAGGAAGTGCAGATGCCCTTGTGAGCTTATGGAACCTGCCGGAGCTGGTGTGTATGAGGACATTTTCCAGGTAAGGGTTATTTCCTACGTACAGTTCCTGCACACTCCTAAAATTATTGGAGGTCTCGGATACCTTGTGAACTTTTTTCAACTAACCCCAAAATTGTGAAAGTTATCATAAAATCCATAAAGGTTTATACTTTCTTTTGTTTCTTGTATAATTTCAGTAATCTGAAATAATTATTTTTAAACTTAAGTAAAATTGAAAATTAGATAAAAGGTATAAAACCTAAGTATTGAATTTAATTTAATTTTATTTCCTTAACTTAACTGACATTTATTTAATGTGTCTGTGTACTCATGAAAATATGCTGTTGCTATTGTAAAAAAAGGCTTGAAATTTTATTTCCTTTTTTGTAGGTTGGAGTGGCCCGTTAGGACTCTGAGTTTCAGCAATGATGGTAAAATGCTGGCCTCTGCATCAGAAGATTTAATTATTGATATTGGAGAGGTTGAAACAGGTTGGTGTATGGTTGTTCTATATTTCCTAAGATTATTTGGTGATTCTGTAGTTGGATTTGTAGAGATGTATAATATGTTCATGACATTATGATGTATCTGAGTATATCCAGCTATAATGAGTACCTGACAGGATTTTAGAACAAGGAGGACATGATGTGGATCACAGTACTATCTGATTCATACAATTGTATCATATTTTTTTAAACTACAAGACTATAAACAATAATAAGGAAATGTATTAACCAAAACCAAAAAAAACACTCCTTTTCTTAACTATGAATGTTTTTTCAGGTGAAAAACTTCACCAGATTACTTGTGATTCCCCGACCTTCACCGTAGCCTGGCACCCAAAGAGACACCTTCTAGCATATGCTTGTGATGACAGACGTGATAGGGATGCTGGCATTGTCAGGGTCTTTGGTTTCCCTTCTGACACGTGATTCTAGCTCTGTTTGACAGCTTGTGACGTCTGTGTCTAGCACTCCCAGAAATTTACTAACGGGTATTGCCTGTATTGTGACGACTTGCTGAGTCATGCTGACCCTGTGAGGGTATACCCACAACTATTTTTAGTTCATGCCACCATAGGATTAAAGGGAAGTAAATTTCAGCATTTCTTGTTGAAGGGTGTATGCTGATTCAAGTGTATCAAAAATTCAATTCAGGTGTTAGCTTTCATGTGACTATGTATATGTACCTAGAGTAAATTACATTACTCCATGAGCTGATCATTTTGTTTTTATTCTCAAATCAACTGCCAGTGTAATATAGTTTTGATGTAAAATTTAGGTTCATTTTTAAGTCATGCTTGTTAAATTTGGATGAACTCTTTCATCATTATTTAATGTATGTTGTATGTAAATTTCCTTATTCATTAAGGCAAGCTATGCAAATTTTTAATAATGTTTTTACTGTATGATAATAAATATGAATTAATCTTTTTTTCATTGAGTTCTTAAATTACCATTTAAATATTGTTACCTCGTGTTGTTTTAAGCCTAGCCCACAATCATTTTAGTTACAAAAAGTTTCTAATGTTTCGAGTAGCTTATTAATCAACTGTTTGCTTGTTATTAAATAAGCCATCAAGTTTGTACCTCTCTCAAAATTTAAGAAACTCATACTACTGCACTAGCCCAATTGTTAATGGAATGCCATACAGTATTATTTTAAAATAATATTACTAAAAGATATGGGGGAAAATATCTTTATCAAAATAAACTAGAGTGAAGAAGGTACCAGAATAAAAATGTTACTAATATAGTGAACAATCAACTTCAAGCTTTTAATGAATGAATTAGACAAAAACAAGGAACAATACAAATTTGACTATATTAAATATTATGATCTTAACCCTACTGAAATAAATATTAGACCAACTCATACTTTAGGTTACATGGCAAAACAGAAATTAAAACCAAGGTAGGCTACTCCTACATCAAAATGAATAATGTTCTATTAGTTCTAAGAATTTTCTAACCAATCTAATCAGGAATAAGCCTCTGCTCCGGAGGATAGATATATTTTGAAGGGAGCGGAGACTGCGTGCTCTGGTCTTAAAACGTGTAGTTAGCCTAACCTAAACATGAAACAATTTACGCGACACTCTGTTAACATCATTGACAGTCAAATCACCTAGTGAGTGACAACTTCCGGCAGATTAACATTTGGACTTGGTCCCATACGGGTCGACCAATGAAACAAGCAGGCTACTGTACTTAGTTACTGATGAGAAGATTTAAGTCAAATCGCCAACTTGTTCATCAGACACGTCTGAATTTATCCTAATTTATAAAAGCCCAATGTGCGCACATCTCTCTCTCTCTCTCTCTCTCTCTCTCTTTCTCTGTCCGCAAAAAATTTTCGCCGGACATCACGTCAGAAACGGCAGCGATATATCGAGAATTTTTTACGGACTTTTGTTGAAAATAATATGTTAGATGTTTTAAATGTATAACCACAATTTTACTTAAAGAAGAAAAATAAAAATTTAAGGCGTAATCGAATGTAGAGAAACAGTATTATTTATGCAACCGGAAAAGCATTAATATATGTGAAAAAGAACGCATAAAACTGTGACGTCACTATTGCTTATACATTAACTAATGACGTCATCTGCCGTGTTAAGAATGAAAAGAAATGAACTATTTCATTCAAATTTGATTTAGATCTACGTACACTATGAAATGTATACAATACAATTTTTCCGGCCTAAACTCATAAAATTTATTTTATGTATTTGGATTCTAGATCTAGAGATTCTAGATCTAGACTAAATCTAAATCTAAATCTACGCAATAACTAGATCTAGACGTAGACGCTAAGATCTAGATTTAGACTCTAACTTCTCTAAAATCAATTCCAAAAATAAATGTCTATATTAGGACTAAACTATTTCAAGACTTATTTATTTTATACAAAATCTTTGTTTGGAACTGGCTAATTTGGGATAAAAAATTATCCTAATTTATAAAAGCCCAATGTGCGCACATCTCTCTCTCTCTCTCTCTCTTTCTCTGTCCGCAAAAAATTTTCGCCGGACATCACGTCAGAAACGGCAGCGATATATCGAGAATTTTTTACGGACTTTTGTTGAAAATAATATGTTAGATGTTTTAAATGTATAACCACAATTTTACTTAAAGAAGAAAAATAAAAATTTAAGGCGTATTCGAATGTAGAGAAACAGTATTATTTATGCAACCGGAAAAGCATTAATATATGTGAAAAAGAACGCATAAAACTGTGACGTCACTATTGCTTATACATTAACTAATGACGTCATCTGCCGTGTTAAGAATGAAAAGAAATGAACTATTTCATTCAAATTTGATTTAGATCTACGTACACTATGAAATGTATACAATACAATTTTTCCGGCCTAAACTCATAAAATTTATTTTATGTATTTGGATTCTAGATCTAGAGATTCTAGATCTAGACTAAATCTAAATCTAAATCTACGCAATAACTAGATCTAGACGTAGACGCTAAGATCTAGATTTAGACTCTAACTTCTCTAAAATCAATTCCAAAAATAAATGTCTATATTAGGACTAAACTATTTCAAGACTTATTTATTTTATACAAAATCTTTGTTTGGAACTGGCTAATTTGGGATAAAAAATTAATTTGAAAGAATAGGCATATTCGCGTAAGTTAAGATTTTAAAATACGTGTTTCATTCTCCGTATTTTATAAGGTGCCTAAATAGCGGAGATGTTAGTGTACATTAAACCACGCAGGTGGTGCGGGTTCGAGACACAGCAAGTCAACTTGGTTAATGTATTCTTTTTTATTATGCTCGGGCTAAATTTAAAAAAAAAATTCTTTTAGGAATCTAGATCTAGATCTAGATTGTCGGGTGTCCGATAGGGCACTTCCCGGCGCCGCAGGCGCTTCAAATTTGGCATGATCTTGCCTTGGTGCGACAGAACACGGGGGCCGGTTGGCCGAAAAGTCTACGATGTGGGGGTCAAAACTGACCTCGACTGACCGGTACCTTATATGAGCTATAAATCGAAAAAAAATGTCCACGGAGGAACCTCTTCATAACTCTTGAGGTCGTAGACCGACCTTCGGGCGAATTAATTAAGCATTCAAATTCTCAATGTTTTCGAAAGCCTAAGCGAAGCTGGGCAGCATGCCTAGTTATCCTAGATTTAATATTAACGTACTAAAACAATACCGGCAGTTAAGGCAGTGGCGTCGCTAGGTCGGGTGTCATCCGGTGCGGCACCTCATGGTGTCACAACACTCCACCTTTTTTTTTCTATGTAAATTTTGCAGTTGGTGTCACATTTAATACTAATGATGTTTGTTTGCAGTCGGTTGTTAAGTGAATACAGCTGGGTGTAGCATTGTTTTCTCTATAGTTTGAGTGTTTATGTTATGGTGTCAACCTCCTTCCTTGTCGGGATCGTCATTATATACTTAAAATACTTTTTAACTGATTAACCATTCATTGAACTGACAAAAACATTTTTATTCGATAAATCTTGCAATTTTTTGTCTTGATGTCACCCTCCCCCCCCCCCCTAAATGGTGTCACCCGGTGCGGTACGCAGCCTCGCCTCGCAACGCCTCCGAGTTAAGGGTTTGCTTCTATATAGGCAAAAAATCTGAAAAAAAAATTTCATTATTAAAGCCTATATTTTCTATATAAATTTTCTCGTTTTGTCCGGGGTCCCACAAAGAGATGCCTGAAAGAAACCCTGGTGACCGAAAACAAAAGGCACATAAACACAACTCATTAAGTCATCCATAAATCGGATCCACATAACTTACAGTAATTTAAAACAAACAGGGAATTCAATGTGTATATCGACAGTTAATTCACACTTGTTATAACTTCAGTATATCCTTATAGTTAATTCACACAGTTATAGACTCACCAGATCCACACATAATGTATTTGCATAGACTATCTATCGCATGCATGTAACACAAAAAAATAACTTGTTATTTTGGTTTTTATAAATATAATTGATTTTACTGGTATAAATAACTTAATAAGTTCCATGCAAGAACAAGATGAGACAGATTTTGAAAATACATTGGCTAAAGATAACCACACACCTATAAAAATTATCTTGCCAAACCACAGTAATGATGGGCATACCCTGAGTTGAAAGCAATACATCCAACCAGGCAAGCGCTGGAGTAAATTTGACGAGCAAGTGATGAAGGTCAAGGATGTCTTGGTAATTTGTGTGTGTGCGGGGGGGGGGGGGGAGGATGGTAGACATCTAGAGATGCCTGGAAGAAACACTGAGTGTGGGGTGCGACATTACTGGCTAGACGTACAGAAATATCTGGCTAAATTGTTCAATGTAATCTGCTCCCTATAGGGGCAAAAGGAAATGATTGATAACGTGTATTGTTTTTTTTTTTCGGAAATAGATGTTTCACACACATCTGCTATTAATAGGTCTGTATGTTTCATAACATAGTTTTGGTCACAGACATACATGTTTGATACATCTATCTGGAAATAAATCACATGTTTTAGGTAACATATATTTCTGCCACTAGGTTACATTATATAACACTAGGACTGCATGTTTTTTCACATGATTTTGTTGATACGTTCACTATCTCACAATTCTGGTGAAACATCACAGGTTTTTCATGTAATAATTATTGTATCCAACGTTTAACATGGGATATTATAGCGTTAAACGTGTTTATTTTTATTTAAAGTGTGTTTGTTATTGTATAGTGTGATTTTAATTTTTGGCAGTTTATATGACTAACGTAATCCCACGAACCCCTGTGGAGGAAGATGCTGCAGTAAATCTCCTTTTGTTTCTGTGTCCCTTTAGCACGTGACTCATCACTAAACTAATCCCTGGCCACCCTACACGACTATACCAATAATCATATAGGAACATTCAGTGATATGTAGTAAATATCGTGACTATCTCGTCTACTGTTCTTATAACGTTAGTCTTGTTTGTTATATTTGTGAAGGTAAATATGGTCTAAAACAAAACTTTAAAAAAAAACGCCGCCTGTATTTGATTTTCATATTTAAAACTACCAGAATTGCTATCTGTTATAAATTATGTATGATATTTTAATAAATGTGTCTACTTTAAGGTCTGCTCATAGCCGATCGCGTGCAATTTTACAAGCTATACTGTCCAGAGTTTCTTCCAGGCATCTCTTCGGGCGGGGGGAGGGGGGGGGGCTGAGCCATCCGAAGAAAGTCTACCGCCCCCCAAAGGAGATGGATTTTATATAGTAAACATACACTTTTAATAGTGTGCGCCTCCCCGAAAAATGTTGACCGCCCCCCCCCCCCCCGGAGAAAAAAGTCAGGAAGAAACACTGATACTGTCTGTTGTGTATGTGGATTAATCTTATAGCAGTTTTGACACATGTCTAGTGCAGTAATATCTAT